TCTGCACTGTGTGTTGTCTGCACTGTGTGTTGTGTGCACTGTGTGTCGTCTGCGCTGTGTGTTGTCTGCACTGTGTGTCGTGTGCACTGTGTGTCGTCTGCACTGTGTGTCGTCTGCACTGTGTGTTGTCTGTGTGTGTCGTCTGCGCTGTGTGTTGTCTGCACTGTGTGTCGTCTGCACTGTGTGTCGTCTGCGCTGTGTGTCGTCTGCGCTGTGTGTTGTCTGCACTGTGTGTCGTCTGCACTGTGTGTTGTCTGCACTGTGTGTCGTCTGCGCTGTGTGTCGTCTGCTCTGTGTGTCGTGTGCACTGTGTGTCGTCTGCGCTGTGTGTCGTCTGCGCTGTGTGTCGTCTGCACTGTGTGTTGTGTGCAGTGTGTGTTGTCTGCGCTATGTGTCGTCTGCACTGTGTGTTGTGTGCACTGTGTGTCGTCTGCACTGTGTGTCGTCTGCGCTGTGTGTCGTGTGCACTGTGTGTTGTGTGCACTGTGTGTCGTCTGCGCTGTGTGTCGTCTGCGCTGTGTGTCGTCTGTGCTGTGTGTCGTCTGCGCTGTGTGTCATCTGCACTGTGTGTCATCTGCACTGTGTGTCGTCTGCACTGTGTGTCATCTGCACTGTGTGTTGTGTGCACTGTGTGTCATCTGCGCTGTGTGTCGTCTGCGCTGTGTGTTGTCTGAACGAGAGCTGCCCCTTTGTGTCTGTGGTGAGACTCGGTGGGTGACTCATTCTCGGCCTGTATGGATTTTTTCACGTCCAATTTTCAGTTCAACTATTGAGCAATGTTACACATACCAAGCAGGGTTTTTTTGTTAACTCTGTTGTTCAAGTCGTGGAAAGTTCGAGCTTGGAGCGATCCGACAACCGAGTGTCACTGCGCTTCATTCCAGGAAACTCAGTCTTCTCCAGAAGTACTGCTTTAAACCCAAACAAGACAATGGTGGTGTCCGTTGCCGTGGAGGCAGTTCTGGCTCGTAGTGACCCTCTGTGCCCCAGAGGGAAGCACGGCCCGGTCCTGCCCCACCCTCACATGCGCTGCTATGTTTGAGCCCGTTGTGACAGACATTGGGCCAAGCCATCTCATAGGGGCCTTCGTCCTTTTACTAATCCTCCACGTTACCGGATGTCTTTCTCCAGGGACAGTCTCTCCCGATCACATGTCCGCAGTACGTGAGATGAAGTCTCACCTTCTTGCCTCTAAGGCGTATTCTGGCTGTGCCAGACAATAGAACATCTTGTAGGCCAGTGTCAGCCATGCAGTGAGACTCACTCAGCACACCAGGTGATAGCTAGAAGACCGTTCGGGCATCCTCATTAGTAACCCGGCCTTCAGAGTGGAAGCCTGCCTGCTAGAAGCAATTTGACAAGGACGGGGGAGCACAGCTCTGGGCCAACCAAGAAAAAAGAGAGAGAGAAAAGAACAAAACCAATTGCCATTGAGTTGATTCTGACCCATAGTCACCCTATACATGTCCAAAGAGAACCGTGTTCCACACAGGGGCTGTTTTCACGGAAGTGGAGCTCCAGGCCGTTGAGTTACAGAGAGATTCTTCCCCAGGTTGTCACCTGCTTGCTAGGTGTTCTCCCTGAGGGAATCCAGCCATCGAGAGAGAGCAGTGGTTCTCAACCTTCCCAATACCTTGACCTTTTAAGACAGTTCTTCATGTTGTGGTGACCCCACCCCTACCCCCGACCACCATAAAATTGTTTTTGTGGCTACTTCTTAACTGTATTTTTGCTACTGTTATGAATTGGGTGACCCCTGTGAAAGGATCATTCGAACCCCAAAATGGTCGAGACCCACAGGTTGAGAGCCACTGATATAAAGCAATCAGACTCTATTAGCTGTCCCACCATAGGTGGGGTTCACGCCCTGCTGATAAGAATAATGGATTGCTTTCCTGAAGGACAGCTCAGAATAAGCTGAGCCAGCTCAAGGAAGACCAAGGGTAGGCTCCACCTTGAATCTAGGGTCTGCCCATCTTGTCACATGTGTGCCCCTGATCCCTCCTCTTCCTATTGTGTGTACACCCCTAGATCGTCCCTCTCCTATTTCTGCATTGCCTATAATACAACCCCTTCCTGTGTATATGGTTACCTGTAATCAGGGGGGCTTGCATGCCCCTAAGTGTATATAAGCCTTGGTCAGAAATATATTCTCTCTCCTCCTCCTCTCCTCTCTCACCTCCACGTGGACTTCCAAGAGGGGCTGAGGTGAGCATGCTCCATGGAGCATGTCTGAGGCCTTTATTGCATTTTCCCTCCTACCTCTCCTATCTTCTATGAGCTTACAATAATCGTTACATATTATCACTGTACAATTGCACCTGCAGACCCCACGTGTTGTCAGAGGCTGGCTACTCTGACACAGGCTTTCTTCTGGGGTACCTCGGAGTGGACTCAAGCTTCCAACCTTTCAGATTAGCAGCAAACATGTTAGACATCACCCAGAGATTCCTATATTAGCCAAAGTGCTCCCCCCGGGCAGCTTGGGTGCAACTAACTTTCTTAATTTTTATTGAAAATTCAGTGTGGGTCCAGTTTATCTGAGATTTCCTTTTCTCAAAAGATTTCCCAACTGCCAAAAGACAAATAAGCAATAATTAAATAAGACCATGCTGGGAGGGGCAAAACTCACTGCCATCGAGTCAGTTCTGACTCACAGCAACCCTGCAGGATAGGGTCAAACTGCCCCTGTGGGTTCCCAAACCCGCAACTCCATTGGGAGCAGAAAGCCTCATCTTTTCCTCCTGAGGAGTAACTGGTGGGTTTGAACTGCTGATCTCTCAGTTAGCAGCTCAGCGGGTAACCACGACAACACCAGGGCTCCAAGGGCTGGCTCATTTCTGTAGTGAAATACAAAACCAAACCAGAAAACACCCTCTTAGCCATGGAGTGGATGCTGAGTTGTCAATCATTATGGAAGCAAGCAGCCTCATCATTTTTGCATGGAGCAGCCGGTGGGTTTGAACTTGGAACATTTTAGGTAGCAGCCCATCACCCAGCAC